TCAAAACATTTTAAATAAAAAAATAAATATGCTAAATCCATGAGTCTCCATCAAAAACTTTGAGTTTAAAGGGCGCTTTTCTGTATAAAGACGAATCGGGGGGGAAATGTCTAACTTGTGAGGTCAAGCTTTATAATTATGGTACAGTAGGGGTCAGCCTAAGTAACGTAGGAGACAGTCTCTTGGAAATGAGACATAGAGAGTAGAAACCTATGCTCCATTCACTTTCACTTAAATATATTTGAAATTTTCCCCAGGCTGACCTGAAATAATCAGTTTAACTAACTGACTTCCGTTAATTTCTGTTTAGCAAATTATTTAGTTATAAATGTGAAACATGTTTGATGAGAGAAGTTTATGTATCCGAAATATTTATGGTGGTTTTGTTTAATAAAAATAATTTTGTTTGTGTAAATTCCAGTTACCATTAGAATGCCGCTTGACACAAATCATTAGCAAAAACTTATCTAGTTAATAAGCGACATCATTCACCATTTTCTAACCTATTAAAATGTACAGTTAATAAGAATCTGAAAATATTAAGCTATATAATTACTTAAATAAATGTATATTGTTACATTATACCATCCTAGGTAGCAAAAGGATGTACCAAATCTAGTGTAAAGACTCTATTTAGTTGTAAATAAACATGTTTTAAAGGTGTTATCAACCAATGAAGAAGCACCTTTCTTTAGAAAATAACTGAAGAACAAATGGAAAAGTTGACTAATATCACCTATTTAAATTGAAGCTTTCTACTTGGTGATTTATATGACTTTGATTTAAATCAGTCAACTATGTATCTGAGGTTCAATCTCCATTGCTGTGACCCACCCATGGGCATCTTTTTGACTCCAGTCAAGTGCCTTTTCTTACAATTATTCTTTCACCATCTCCATTTACTCACATCTTACATGTAAGGAGAGCTAAAATCACATGCTAGTTCAAAAGTCCATTTCTGGTTTAATGAACGTGTAAGTGTCAAGACTGTGTGAGAAGAAACGCTAAATATTAATCTTGATACATCTTCTTCACCAGTAGTTTAGTTTGACTTGTCATGCTCATGCACACACACTGGATGCACTATATATAATCATAACTGCAGCTAACAACCCAGTCTATAAATAAGCTTTCATATTATCTGAGTGATTAAAAATATTTACTTTGTTATTTCTAAAGATACATCAAATATCAAAATTTTTTGCCTAGGGAAGCTCTTCTCAAAAAGGCAAAAACGAAGGCTAAAAAGAAGCCACGAAGACGATCGGACAGCTCTGGAGGATATAATCTTTCAGATATTATTCAGAGTCCACCCTCTACAGGTTAGTGGCAAATGAACTTTTCTTTCAGGCATCACAAAGTCTAGCATCAACTTCAATATGAAATACTATACTTCTGCTATCTGTTCATCTTTAGAAGAATTTCTTACTTAACACACAACTTTTTCTTGTAAATATCCAGTATGGATTATAATGGTTTGTTTAATGAATTATAGAATTAAGTGATACTGTTTTGCCTTTTATAAACTAAGACTAAAGGACATTTTTCCACGATGGGGGTTTTTTTTTTTTTTTTTTGGTAACTTAAATATCCCCCCGTAACGTTGGCAGCCCAAACATTGAATCACTACTTGAGACCCTGAAAGAAAATGACTGGATGGAAACTGATTAGCCTGTTTTTCATTGTCCAATTGGTGAGAAATAGAAAAAGTAAATACATACATTCCTTTTTCAAGAAAATAGTTTATGTGAATCAGATTAGAGAAAGGAAGAGAGGGGGAAGCTATTTTATTCTGCACAATGATGCTTGAAAATTGATGGTTACCTGCAACTGTATAGGATTATATAATGAGCTACCCTTTTAAGTTTTTTATTTATAGTTTTTATATTTTTAGTTTTATAATTGTATAATGTTCAAAATATGATACAGCCTTCCAGCTCTGTATGTTTTCTTATATAACCATTGTATAATAATCCTGCTTTTCATGATATAGTTCTATGTTATATTCTTATCCAATACATTTTAGGTTTAATAAAATTGGATAAGGTTAACTCTGTGGAGTCACTTCCAGAATTGCTGACATCTGATTCCGAAGGTAGTTATGCAGGAGTGAGTAGTCCCAGAGACTTACAATCCCCTGACTTCACAACAGGATTTCAAGCAGATAAGACTGAGGTATTTTGGTTCCTAAAAATCTACTTTTTTTTTTTTTTTATAAACCTTTTTGTGTGTATTTTTAAAAAAAAAAATGCAAACCTTGATTTTTGTGTGCCTTTAGAAAGACAATTTAGTCACATTCTCATCCTGAAATAGTTTTAAAGTGCTTGTTTGTTTGTTAAAATAAACAAAAATCCTCTGTGGTTTTAATAGGTAGTGCTGATATTTTGTTTGTGTATGGTATCAGGAGTTTTTAAACACCATGTTTCATTATACCCCTTTTGTTTTTTGAAAATTTCAACTCTCTGATGTCTTACATTTATATTGTTTAAAATCCCTACCTCATTTTTATCTCAAGGTATAAAGGAACCTCTGATTTAGCAAAATAAAGCTAATTTTCTTAGCCTGATGTATTTGGTAAAAAGATTACAGGCGAGGATAATTTTAAGATGGTAATTAAAGAGATGATTTATAAAGAGAAATGAAGTTGACAAGAATTGAGACTAATGCAAATCTGTGTGCATGTTAGTCTCAGGTATCAAAATTGTTATTTTAGACCTGTAACAAATCTCTAAGAGTAGTATTACACTAGTTAATCTAGTAATGTATTTGAACATAGTTCTGAGGTCATGTTTTTTGATGGATGTTGTCAATTTAAAAATAATATAAATAATGCAGATTGATCTGGGATTAATTAAAATACATCTGCTGCTTCTGATATTTCCTGTAGATCCTCTTCATGTATACTTTAATATTTATGACTTATGTCATTTCTAACATCACCCTTTTTCTAAATGGGGAAAAAACCCTGTTTCAGTTGAATTCTTTTATGTTTCAGATGAAAGACAAAATGTATGTTCAGAGTATAAATGCCCCACATTCTAATAAAGAGATGAAATTATGTGAGGGATCATCAGCACTGAAACAGTCTGTTCCACAGTCCATTCCCAGTATTAAAAACAACTCTGCAAGCTCTCCAAGTTGGGTTGCTACCTCTTTCAGGTACAGTAAAATGTATTGTAAGTAATTAGCTTGCAAGTAACGTGCTTTCCATTCGGTAAAAGATAGTGAACAATAGTAGTTTAATATTCTTGCTTCTTTTCAAAGTGAAAAGTTAACTGCATTTAAATTGATCATATGATACCAGCAACACTTGAAATGTTGGCTAAGGATGCTGGCTTTCCTTTTGCAAATCGATATGCTTGCTTTCTCTTGAAGAACCATTAGATACATCTTAAAAGGGACACTGTCTCGAAGGGCTTTTAAATTTTAAAGTAGCTCTTTCTATTAATTGGATCCTTTACTCCTCATCCTTCAATTAAAAAATAGTACTACAGTATTGTGCAGTAACCGTTCATTTTACAATAGTGTTACTGCAGCAATTGGGGTTGTCACTGTAGTGTACCCTTTTTTTGAGGGGGATGTTTGACAAACAGTTTTGAACATTATTGCATTTATAGGCAGTTTAAGGTCAAATTTGTTAGCTTCAGCCTCCTACAGTAATCAAACTTGATTCCTAATGTAGTTCTTCTAGTATTTTATCTACAATGATCTCACTGTAGGTGTGTGTCCCCCATGTGCATGAGCTTGGATTCTTTTGTTCAGCAGCGTCTGTTGGGTCTCTGCCTGTGCCCCCCTCCTCCCACTTCCAAGGAGGGCATAAGGGGAAAAGCAGCCCCATACACCACTCGTTTCCTTACCACTCATGGCAGTGAGATGGTGTGTGGTATCTGACTGCTTTCTGTAGCTTTCTTAGAATGGGTTTAGTAGTTAGTTTCATTCCCAAAGATGGGACTTTTTGTTTTGAAGTCTCACATTGGCACCAATGTGGTGGTCTGTTGGCTTAAGTTAGGTCTCCAGGTTTTAAAATCTACCCTGCCTGTGAGGCAGCTATGCCTTTAAATGATGAACATACTAAATGCCTCTCTTGTGTAAGGGAAGGTCATAAATGTTCAATTTGTAGATATTTTTCTTGTGCAAAAAGCATCTTGTGATGCTTGACTGAAATTATTTTTTATGGAGAACTCCATGAGGAGTGATTCTAACTTAAGTCCTGCCTCGAAAGCAGTCTGCTGCTGCTCTGAAGTCAATTTCAAATTAGTGCCCCGGCTACAAGAGATGCTATCTTAGGTTCTTCTGGCACCAGGAGGTCTTGTCTTCAGTGAAGCATTCTGGTCCTTCACTGTAGTCCACCTTCGGGTCTGTCAGTGACTTCTGCTGCCCAGGGTAAGAAGGAGTAGAGAACTTCAGCTGGTGCTCAGCAACAGTCACTGTCCCTAGTACTGGCCAAGAAGAGGCCATTCTTCTGACTTGTCCAAATCTGCTCCTGGTAAGCCTGACAAGCACTGTAAAACTTCAGTGACTTGACTTGCGGTCCTCTGCACAGTCAGGTCTTAATAACTGAAGCTCCTATCTCAATACCAATGACATTTGGTATTGTCTGACTTAAAATCTTCAGTACTATGTTGTAGTAAAAATCTTCCATCTGCTGATGCATAGTACTGGTTTGCATAGTACCATCTTTGTCAATACCTCCTTCCTTAGTGCAGGGCTCTTTAACTCCGGCTGCCTTTACAACATCTGCACATAAATCTTAATGGTTTCTCCAGAGCCAGAATCTCCATTCTTAGATGTTTCCCCATTCTCTGTGGTGTCCAAGTTGCTTCCAGTACCAGAACACCAGATACTGATAACGAAAATATCCTTTTGTCCTCTGTTGCACCAATTTCTATCAATGGTGCCTGGATCTCTTCAGCCTGTTTCAGCTCCTCCTCCTGTTTGTCCTTTTAGAGGAATTCTGTTCATCTGCCTTTTCCTCCTCTGGTGACAACAGAAATTCTTTCCCTAGGACATTGTTTTGTTTTCCTAGATCTTTTCCTTAGAGTGACATATCTGCCAGGTTATAAGCTCCTTGGATCCCCCCAACATGGCATCATATGCCTTTTCTTTATCGGATGCAATTCTGGCCTTGCTGCCGTACTTGGAATCATCAGCCTCATTTTTTCTGTTCCTTACTCAAGACCCAGATCTAGGAATAAGTCACCTCCCTCACGACTGAGTAAGTATCTTCACAATGAGGAGGAGGATCTTGGCTATTTCTCCTTTGTTCTCAAGACACTACGTGTGCCTTCTACAATTGATGACTTCAAGGTTTTTCAGAATCTTCTTGAAAGAATGGCTGGTACTTTGGAGATTAATTGAGAAATTATCCAAGGAAAGTCCCACAAGTTATTTGATATAGTGCATCCAGTCTTTCAAGGTTGCTTAACTATAAATGAGGGTATTCTTGAGTCAGCCAATGACTTTTGGCACACCCCAGCCTCCATCTGAGCCTCTTCTAAGACGACAGACTGGAGGTATCAGGTTCTCCCAAAGGGGTTCACATATTTTTTTTTTCCCCAACCAGTCTGTCCCTGGATTCTTAGTGGTAGTTCATGGAAAAATCTAAGCAGTCTGATCCTGTCAAGTCTACTTCCAGGGATGAAGAGCCCAAGAAGACTGGCCTTTTTGGGAGGAAAGTATATTCCTCATTTAGTCTTCAGATCTATATAGCCAATTAATTTGGCTTTGTTGTCTAAATATGACTTCTTCCAGTGGGATAAAATACTGAAATTAAGTGACAAACGGCCTCAGGACTCCAGAGATGAGTTGAAGCTGCAGTAAAAGGACAGTTGGCGGTGAAGATGGTGCTACAAGCCTCTTTGAATGCTTCTGACACTGCTGCAACATCTACAGCCAGTGGTGGTTACTATGTACAGAGTATCATTAGGGAGGAGGGATAGCTCAGTGGTTTGAGTATTGGCCTGCTAAACCCAGGGTTGTGAGTTCAATCCTTGAGGGGGCCACTTAGGGATCTGGGCAAAATCAGTACTTGGTCCTGCTAGTGAAGGCAGGGGGCTGGACTTGATGACCTTTCAGGGTCCCTTCCAGCTCTATGAGATAGGTATATCTCCATATATTATCATGGCTGCAGCTGTTCAGCATTCCACAAGAGGTCCAGTCAACAATTGAGGACCTATCTTTTGAGGGCTATGACCTTTTGAATTCAGAAACCGATGAGATGCTTCACTATTTAAAAGACTCCAGGGTGATAATTCAGTTTCTGGGTCTCTACATTCTGGTTCAGAGGCGGAAGCAAGGAGAACCTCAGCCTTTGTTGAGACAGAGACCTCTTTTGTCTTATTCCTGTCACCAGAGGGCTCTAGACTCAAGTGAATATGAGCTCCCAGGGCCTAATGCATTTCTTGAATACATAAACAGGGAATGTTTTATGTAGGAGTAGGGAGGTTATTTTACATCTGTATTTGGCACTGTTGGGACTGCTATAGGAATACCGTATCCAGTTCTGGGGCCCACAATTCAAGAAGGATGTTGATAAATTGAAGAGGGTTCAGAGAAGAGCCATGAGAATGATTAATTATAGTGATAGATACAAGGAGCTCAATCTGCTAAGCTTAACAAAGATAAAGTTAAAGGATAACTTGATCAGTCTGTAAGTACACGAGGAAGAAATATTTTATGATGGGCTCTTCAGTTTAGCGACAAAGGAGTAACAAGATCCAATGGCTGGATCTTTGTCTAGTTGAAGCTAGACAAATTCAGACTGGAAATAAGACATATGTTTTTAACAGTGATGGTAATTAGCTATTTGAACAATTTACCAAGAGCTGTTGTGGACTCTCAATCACTAGCAACTTCTAAATCAGGATTGAATGTTTTATCTAAAAGATAAAAGGTTAGCCCAAATGGGAATTAATTCAGGGAATGACTATGGCCTGTGTTATGCAGGGCAGACTTGAAGATGATCACAGTGGTCTCTTCTGGTCTTAGAATCTGTGAATACATGCTATACAGTAACTGTGCCCTTCGTCAAAGGTACACATTTTCCTAAAATTGAAGGTGACAGAAAAAAAATAAATACCTTGCAGGTACTTCAGAGCCTGCTAGTGAACACACATTCAGTCTTTGAGTGTGTGCGTGCCTGATGACTCATCTCTGTAGTTATGAACACTTTTTATGAAACTGATTAATGGTGACTTCAAGATGGTAGCGTTTATTTTAATTTCAGTGGAGAAGTGATACATCTGAGTGCGGGGAAAGCCTATCAGGGTCCAGACGGAATTATATTCTTTTTTCATATTTTGCAGACCTTTTTAAGGTCACTTAGAATCTAGATCACCCCAATGGCTAAGGTTGACCATGTCTCTTCTAAGAGAATAATGTAATACACCTCTACCTCGATATAACGCTGTCCTCGGGAGCCAAAAAATCTTATCACATTATAGGTGAAACCGTGTTATATCGAACTTGCTTTGATTCACCGGAGTGCACAGGCCTGCCCCCCCGGAGCACTGCTTTACCGCATTATATCCGAATTCGTGTTATAGCGGGTCGTATTATATCGGGGTAGAGGTGTACTTCTAATATAAATAAGTTATACATATTGGTGTACAATTCAAAAGGAAATTGTTTATCTGTAATTGTGTTCAAATTCACTTGGTGGTTGATTCCCAGACTGTCTAATTTCCAGATTCCTGTGGCTTTCTGAAGAATTTGTCTGAGCATTGCTGGTTTGCTTGACGCTGCCCAAAACATAGTGCCCCATTTCAGTGGCTCTTACTATCTAAAATACAGATACTGATAAGGCAGGAAGTACTAGGAGATCTTGAGGAAAGTGTTTAGAAAAATGTTTTCCTCTCCTCTCCTTTCATACAGTGTTGGAGTGGAGAAGAGATTTGACTGATGTGGGTTTGCAGGCCCTGTAGTAGGACTGAGTCTCTTAGAGGGATTTGAATGAGGCAAGTGTGGGATCCTAGCACATTGGGATTGGGAATACAATTCATGTTCATCTGACAGCATGGAAAGAAAGAAGGCACAGACATAGGAGTAGAAGAAAACAGTGTCAGTTTCATTGCCATTTCCTTCAGAATGAAGGGATAGAGGGAGTCCAAAAGAAATAAGGTGAGTTGTAAATAACGGAATAATTCTGCAGGGCTTTGAAGGGGCAGTACATTTTGAAATTGATCTGGCAGACAAGGTGGATCTAGTGTAGGGATTCTAAGAGGGAAATGATGTGGTGTGTTGGGAAAGGAACAAAATTCTAGTTGCAGTTTGGAGGGAAGGGGTTTGATATGGGTAACGCAAGTAAAAATCTTTGCTGTATTCTGATAGAAAATATTTATGGTATAATAAATGATTCCATGTATAATATGGTAGAAGCACTCTAACACACAACTTTTTCTATATAATTCAGAATGAATTGGATTTAATAACTGCAATGGAGGCAATTGTTTGGAGTTTAAGGTGGGAAACTGAGTCACAAGTCCATTCAATTTAGGCTTAATCACTTGTTGCCTCTGTACAATTTCAGACAGAATTATTGTCACTTATGATGTGTGAACATATATTTATGCCAGATAATAGACAAAATGGTAGGAGGCCCAAACTACCACATTCTGGGGTACCGGGAAGTTCTCCTATACTTCCTGATGGCTGCCTCTGACTTCTAATTCTTCAGTCCTTTTCCTTCAGTTTTTGGTCAAATATTCCTCCAATTTGGTCCTTTGTTCACTTGAGTCATTTTTATACATTTATTTCTTCATTACATATTTTTTACCCTTTCCCCGATCAGCGTTAAGCATTTGTTTTAGGTAACCCATACAATACATATGTGCAAGCTTAAATTTACACAACTTTTGCTGCTTATACAATTTCTTTGTCATTCTGTTTCTGTGTCACCCTGCCTCTGGGTTTTCCCAATAAAAGGGTTACAGGTTTCTGTACTTCTACCTAAAATCTTCCAGCACAACATGTTACCTTTGGCCTGTCAGCAATAACCTAATTTTAAGCAAATTTACAGGAGAGGAGAAGAATTGGCAAAACCACACTCATGCCAGCTAAGCCTTGGCCTAAGTATTAGCTCATTCATTATCCATAATTATTAATTATTAAGGTATAACTAACAAAGCTCTTAATCTTATCATGTAGCTGTTCTTCATTTTTATATTTCTGTATCATAATTCAGTATGTGCATTATCATACACACACAGAAGTGTAGGGTCATGGGTTTAAAAGTGCCATGACCTCAAAGTGTCAGTATTTTATCTTCTTTAAACATGGGGTTTCAGAGACTTTTTCACTCAAAGTCCAACCTTATGTTTGTGAATCATTACATAAAGCTTCATTAGTAATTTTCCTTATGTTGTGTTTTGAGGGGTGTCTTAATTTTAGGCCTTAATAATTACTGTTTCCCAACAACATGCTCATTAGCACTGCTTACATTAACAATGTACATGTGGGACATAAAATATAAATAACTTACCATGTATAAGGATTTTACATAGAGGGTTGGCCTGTCACTATCGAAATACTGAAAGCTTAATTCCTAACCATATACAAATACAAGATCAGATTTCAGATCCACAATTCCCAGGCAAGCATGGTCTCTTGCTGCAGGTTTGCAATGAGATGGACTGCTTCATGTCTCTGTGTGGCAGCATTGTATGATGGAAGCATAATGCTGAAGAGAGCCTACTTCCTCATTCAGTGGGATAGACAGTATCCCTGTAATGTACTTTTGTTCTTAAGTTAGTTGATACATACTCCCAACTGTAGCTGCATTTCAACATAGTTTTTGTCTGGGAATTACCTTGGGTTTTAAAAATTATCAAATTCTGTACACAAACTCTAAATGAGAAACTGAAAGAGTGCTACCAAGTGATAGTACATATCTTCAAGTCACTAAAAATATCAAGCTTAAATCACTTTTTAGTTTTTTACCTTTTAAGGGCAGAGTCACTGAGACACCAAAGCAGCCTACACAATCCATTAAGCTGGATTAAGCTGCTTTGCATTGCCAGAGGAGCACAAATCAGCAAATTAAGGATCGCACTGACTTGCAATTGGTTTGAAGGCTTGTATTAGACTATGCTGTCTGAAGGGAGGGCAAGGAGAACTCTGTAGAGGGTCCCTGTGTTCCTCTGATTTTAAAGGCTTCTCGCATGCTCCTGTCTCATTTCCCCTGGCAGTGATGTCAGAGCACAGTGGAACCAAGTCAGCAGTGTCACGGGGAGCCTTTCAAGCAGTAATGCCCTACGTTATCCTGTGGCTGTGGAACTTTTAAGGAGCTTTGACAATTGGGCCAAGTAATCCTACCAATGGGAATTTTTCACACAGGTGTCCAATTTCTTTCATACCACTGACTCATTAAAACAATTAGCATTGTTACATACAAGTCAGCTGTAAAGGGATGGTGGTGGCTGAATTACCCCATCACAGTGGCCCCACTTAAGAGTTACTGAGCCTGTTTGTAAATTGTAGCAATTAATTTAAAGTATCATACCATAGCTAATTTCTTCAAATGTAGCATATAACAAGGTTTCAGTTTTAACTATAAGGAAAGTTTGAAGTGTCTGCATTGTTCTGCTAAGATCATTTGGAGAAAAATGATAGATACTAAATTTCTTAAATGACCTTGTTTTAAATTAATTTTATCTCATAAATTTAAGGATTTACTTCTAAATTCTTAGAACATTCACATTGTACTCAGTCTCAGAGTAAGTGCTGTAATTTGAGAAGGGGGAGGGATAACAAATATTTTCCATACAAAACAATAAGGTTTAATTGTTTCTTTAAGTGCAAAGTGGAATTCTGCCTTAACTGTGGAGTTGTGACCAGTGTCTCCATAATATTTAAGTTACTAGCCGACTACTAAACAAGTATCCTAGTTTTAAATATCTTATTTACAATGGCTTTTAAAAAGTAATCACACTTTGCCTCTTGTTTCACATTGTAATGAATCTTGGAAGTATTTTTGTGTATTCTGTATATACACATATATAAAAAGTTTTTTTTGTCAGAAACGTTCTATTTGAGGTTTGCCATAATTGAGGAAATAGACATACGATGGTACCCGGATTTATAATTTAAGTATGACTTAGAAGATTTCAGTGAAGTTTGGAAACTGTGGAATGTAAGTAAAAATGAATGCCTTGAAAGGTAACTTTTTATTTTTCATTCAGCCCTGCCAGCCCTCCTGCTGTGGATCTAAGAACCATCATGGAACTTGAGGAAAATATGCAGAAGCGTGGAACTATGCCAAAGACAAATGCGGGGTTGGTAAAAAACCAATATCTATAAAAAAGGAGAGATGTTGAAGAATAGGCCATTATGGATTTACTTAGTGGTTCAGATGGTTTAAGATTTAAAAGAAAAAGAAAAAAATCTTCTTGTCCTTTTTGTGTTTGCACAGCTTTGTTTATTCATTTTGTTATGGCATTTCTGTGCATGCATTTAAAATTTACATCTCTGTCTGCAATGGCCTGATTCATCTAGTTAGTGCAGAACCTTCTGTTGGACTCTGGAGACGTAAATGGAAAGATTAATAAAATAACAGATCATATGTGGGATCAGTGGCCTAGCTGGCCAACCTTTCTGCTCTCTGTCCATCCCCACTCAAAAATAATCTAAATTTCCATCTGGTTGCTCTCCAGGTACCATTTGTTTCACACCACCGCCTTCAGCCTCCCCAGGTGCATGGTATTTTCCCAAAGAGTACCACTGGAGTGGATGGGGGAGATGATTTCAGTGCAGACTGTTCATTTTGCAGGACTCTTTTTGCGCACATACTAGCCTGAATGACACCCATCTGTGGATTTTAGGGAGCAAACACAAGATAGAATGAAATAAGAAGTGCATTTTGAAAACAAAACTCATGGTAAAGCAAAACTTCAGACCAGAAACACTCAACAAAACTGCACATACACAAACAAAAATTGAATTAGTGTTTTTTGAAGCATCATTGCTCACATGTGGCAGTGCTCAATGATTCTGCCTTAGTCAGAGAAAGGGGAACATCCTGGGCAGCCATCCACCATCTCGCTATGAGGAGCAATGTGACAGTGTAATGTCTGGAAGAAGCTCTCATTCCTTGTATGCCCAAGCAAGCAACTGACTTCCCTTCCACCCTAAAAAAACAAAAAACACCCAACATATAGACTTCTAGTGTTTCAAGTGTCCTCTGCAAATTCCACTTTGTGCTATTCTATTGGCATGTCTGGTGTCAAGATGTAGAATATTCTGAAGAGCAGTGGCCCTTGGGATGCATCCCACTTTCCCATCGTGGTGGACTCTGAAAGTACAAAAGGGGAGAAGGGCCCCGTTACTCTTCAGTTTCTTCTTGACAGCTGAAGTGTTGAGAGTTTAGGATTACAGTGTCCTCATTGGATGGAGATATATACATAAAATTTGCCTCTGCCCTTTCAGGACTATTTTTTGTTAAATTATCAGTCGGGTGTCCTCGTTTTAAAAAAAGAAAAGGTGCCTGATTGACACTGGTATCTGGACCCACGCAAAGTGAGAGAGCTGCCTCTGACATCTCTGCTGATGAGGGGAGGCTCCATAGGGCCAGCTGACTAAGTTTGGCATTAAGTCCAGCATTGACTTAAGAGAACTGCTCACCCAAGTGGCTCTTTATCTGCCTTGAAGCAGTGTCCAAGTCCCTGGCTGACTAAGCTCAGTGATATTCTAGCATACTCAATGAGCAACAGAAGTCCCTGAATTAGTCTGGTTCAAGCTAATTTGGTGCTGAAGATTTTGCAGTTCACTCTAAACCACATGCTAGAAGTACTCTGGTGCCAGCATTGGCAGTGCTAGGTCCTCGGATCCATCCATGTCAAAAGTCCGGTGCTGATAATCCAGCACCTTTGAATAATTGTGAACTACTCGTTTTGAAGTTTTGCCTGATACCAATAGCACTAATGTCCTTAGTTTCACCAATGACTTTGGTGAACCATTAGTTGAAGTGGCTCTCTACCCAGCTCTAGTGAAAATAGAATTCCCTGATCCATCTGAGTTAATGTAGTTTGGTGTCAACGATGCTAGATATTTGGCAGTCTGTTTTGCTGTCACCTGCCAATGATGGATCATTGGATCTGCATGCTTCTCCTATTTATGCGTCATTAACTGCACATTGACAGGAGCCTCTCAGTTTCCAGAGCAGCTTGTGTGTGTTTGGGGAGTGGACGCAACCCCTGACACCTCTGCAATGAAAGTCTCCATTCCAGTCATATTGGGCTTCCTGGTGCTGCATCTTTGGCCCTTTAGCCTCAAACCTATTCTGCTATAGTGCTAAAAAGACCTCTATGGGCTTTCATCCTTCCTTGGACTTGGTCATCTGTACTAGGTACCTCAAAAGTATTCTCATATTTTTTTGTAAACTTACCTGACCTGCACTCAGGTAGTCACGATGGCCAATGGAAAAATACTTAACTTTGTAAGTTTCAGATTCTCAACTGAGAATATATCCCAGCTGGGGTACTCCCCTTTCTTACTGGAATCTGGAATTCTTCTGCCTTCCCTCTGATTCCATTGATTCAGGAGGTCTGTCTGGAGGTCAGTCACAATGGATCCAAAAAGTTGTCAGTAGCCTTAATTGGTCTTGGCTGTTTCATCTTCGGACATTTTAGGTCAGATGTTTTTTAGTACTACAAATCCTGTTTTCCATTCTCCTTGTTCTTTGTCTTAGAGTTGAGGTAAAAGTATCTGAGTCTGAATCTTCTCAGGTTGACAGCCTGACTTCTGGATTACTGAGATGCTTTATGGGGAGGTTTATTCTGAAGTCTAGTAGATCCTGTTGAAAAACAAAGCAGACAAAAACCTGCTGCAATAAATATCGAAGTTTCCCCATCTCAGTAGCTGAAGAGTGAATCTGAGATGCTCTTCTCTTGCTTTTGATATATTACACTTTGAACATTTGAAGAACTGTTTTGAGTTCTACCAGACTGAATTGGTTGTGATGTCAGCAACTACTGTCACATGCATGGGAGAATGGTACAATCCTCTAGTTTATGGAAGACTTACTCCATGTACTAGTAATGCTACTTGGAACATTTGCTTAGTTGTGATATGAGACAAAGTAAATTTGACTTCCCTTTTCAGAAATACTGCAGTGGATGGATTTATTTGAGCTGTCCTTGGGTTATTCCCTCTGGTGCATGACTCTCCTTTGCCATGAGATTGAAATCTTTCCTTCACAAAACTTAGGATCTTTGCTCTGATTCACATGTGTGTGTCATCTATGCCATGTGCTATGGAAAAGGACATTCCTCATAGCTTTAAATATGGCCAGGTTGTTGGTGAGATGCAGTCCAGAAGGCTAAGTTTGCATAAGCTCAGTTCCATATGGAAAATGTGGTCCTGTGCATATCTTCACCACAATTTCCAGTTTCAAAAAATATCATCCCTGATTTAATCTTTCAGGCCACTAGGCTGTCTGTAGTCCCACAAGCATCTTTCTCATGCCTTTTATGACTTGTTAGGTATTTGGTCACCTGCGAAATCAAGGTGTACTTAACTAAATGAGAGTGGTAAAGCATCAGATGGATGCTGATTGTTTTCATCATCTTTTTGCAAAGATGCTACATGGGCATCTATATGTGGTTTAAGCAATCTCTCTCTCTGTGTCAGACTTAATTCAGGAGAGGAAATTTCAGTCACTAACACTCTTGACCTGTTATTCAGACCTGATGTTCATTTTGTTAGTTCTGCAGACAGCGTTCACTAGGCTCTCAGCCCACCTTCCTTAGAATTGTACTGCTTTTGAGTCTTCCGCAAGTGGGACTATACAGAGGCTGCTCGAAGGAGGGAGAGAGATTACTACCAGCAGCTGTTACTCTTAGATTACAACTGCATATTGACACTTCCTGCCTCCCTTCCCCTTTTCTTTGGAGTCTTGGGAAAGAATTTCCTGAACTAGGGAAGGAACTGAAGAATGTCTGGGCCAATCCTTACTTTTTATGCCCTAGCGATCCTTGCAAGGGGCACGGAGGGAAGGGAGAGTATCCTCAAAGGGCATTGCTCTTCAGAAGATTCTGCAACTTGACACTAGAGGCACCAGTGCTTCAAGTGTGAATATGTAGAGGCTACACTCGAATAACGGTTGCTAGTAAATAACCTGTCTTTTGAGGTTAGTATTTTAAATTGTCAGTTTTCTCTTTCCAATTGTCATTTTAATTCATAGTAAACCTGCTTCTCATGGAATCAAGCTTTCTCAGAAGCAAAGAAAAATGATTGCCATGGCGGCTAAAGATAATGGCTCAGTTACGAACAGCCTGGATGCTACTTCAATTACAGCCACGCCACCCACACCTATGAAAGTTACAAAACCAGGGAGTGCATGGTATGTCATCTTAGTTAACTCAGTTTATTTGTCTTTGTGTTGATGGTTCCCTTTGGGCAGTATTTTTTTTTTTTTTTTAAGATGACATAACTTCTATTTAGTTACAAGAAAACAGTGTTGTTTCTACTTTTGTACATTTAGTGTTATTGAAAATTTTAAACAGGAGTTGTGGTTAGTGGTGGTGATTGTGGCTCAACCACTAGGATTCATATATCCTAAAGGCCACAACCAAGCTGGGCCCTGTCGTGCATATTGTGAGTATGGTCAACAGTATCAAAGACATGATAGACATAAGAACAGCCATACAGGATCAGACCAAAGGTCCATCTAGCCTAGTATCCTGTCTTCTGACAGTGGCCAATGCCTGGTGCCCCAGAGGGAATGAACAGAATGAATCATCAAGTGATCCATCCATGAACTTATCTAGTTCTTTTTTGAGCCCTGTTATAGTCTTGGCCTTCACAACATCCTCTGGCAAGGAGCTCCACAGCTTGACTGTTGCCCATTAATTTCATTTGGTGACCCCCTAGTTCTTGCGTTATGAGAAGGAGTAAATAACACTTCCTTATTTACTTTCTCTACACCAGTTATGATTTTATAGACCTCTATCATATCCCCCCTTAGTTGTCTCTTTTTCAAGGAGCACTATAGCAATTTAATATCACAGTCATTAGTTACTATAATTGCAACCTTTTTTCAAGTGTCGCCTATGCACAGTATTTTAACTAATGTCAACTGTATGGAAAGTCTGAAGAATTTGTGGTGTTCCATTATTAATAATCATTCTGGACAAAGAAAAGACTTGACACATTATATTTCTTAACATTAATTTGAAAATCTGTCTTATCACAGAAATGTACTGTTTGTTTGCATTTTATCAAATAATTCTGGGTTCAGAGTAAGTGCTGTAATTTTGGGGCAGATGCAGTTTATTTTTCATATACATAACAAAGTTTGAGTTCTTGCTTAAAGTGCAAAGCAGAACTCAGTCTGAACCCTGGAGTTGTGACTGATGCTTCCATAATAGAAGAGGCAATGTTTCAAAACTGCAGGATTTGGAGTTTATTGAACTTTATATAATGGTTTGATGGATACATAGGATTACCAAATTAGACATAAAAATCCTTAAACTGACTATTTAAGCATGTTGCAGTGAATACAGTACCTACGTTACTGAGACTTAATCTGGTACATCATGTACATTATGTCAAACTGAGTTTTTTCAAAGCTTACTTTCCTCGTGGTCCAACAAAGGATGAATTAAGCTTTGTAGGATGTTCAAGGCATCTATTCATCCAATTTTCCCCAGAAGTTGGTTTTAGTGGCTGAAGTTAAATTTACTGGCTAGTGGGAGCTGACTTTTAGTTTTAGTTTTACTTTGGTTAATTGGTGTCTTTTATATTAAATGTACAAGCACCCAGAGATTGTTGGGCACATTTTTAATAAATCTATCTTTTGAAATATTTTGTATAGTGTGATATGCAGGCCCAGGTATCTTAAGTGAAAAGGCCAATGCATCTTCTACTGAAGGATAACTTTCTGGTTTAATTTTCCTGTGGCCACATATGCCTATAAATGTTCATCTACAATATTCCTCTGTCTGTGCCTGCTCAGATGGAAAATGTCGATAAACCAAGAGTTAAAGCAGAGAATCAGTGAGAAATCTATAAATGTTTCAAATAATCGCCTAGCTGCTGGAAAGGGGAATTAACTTGGTTAAGTAAAATTTAAACTTCAACACGCAAACTGTAGATTACTACTGGTTGCTTTGCTAGTGGGGTTTTTTTTTTTTTTTTTAAATGTATTCACCATTATCATCCACGTTGTCTATTTTTCTATAAAAGTATAGAACAGTAAGGTTGGGTGCATCACTTACCCATGTGGAATTATGGATCTTTTGATCCAAAATGTAGAGTACATCTGGTGGCAAACTCAGCTTTTCATGCGTGCAGTACATTGAGAGCTATAGAGCTTTTGTGTTCCAGTGAAAGGAGATACTTGTCTTGGAAATTCAGCAGTTTTACTGGCAAGAACATTTGCCAGAAGGGTGTGGGACCTTCTGGCACTTTCTTTGGTTGATTAAAAGACACAGTATAACTTATACCATTTTTTCTTTTATGCCAAAAGAAACCTCCAATTTCACAGTTTGGGGGATTGAAGCTAAAATCAAGTGCTTTGAAGACTGGTAGAGAATAATAAACTTTGTAAGGAACACTTTTATTTTGAAAGACTCCCATGTCCCACAAGAAATTAAACAAAATATTAGCCTTATTTCGGTTTTATGTATCATATAGTTCAGATACGTGTGTGTGTGTGAGTATAGAGAGAGAGAGAGAGAGAGAGAGGTGTGTATATGGTTCAGATACCTAGAGTCCATCTTGAATGAGGCTTACAACAATTAAAACTCGATATTTTAGTTGCAAAAATGTGCTTTGTGCATCATAATGTATTTTAGTACTTTGAAGTCCATACTGGTGCGCCATCTGTCAAAAGTGCCTTCTGAAACACAACAAAATGTCAATAGCTCTTCTATAAAGAAACTTCACACTTGTTTGTGTACAGCCAAAATTCTAGGAATAAGATTTTTTAAGTTTCTTCCATGCAATTAAAACATCTTTTCTTTTAAAGACAATGTGGTCAAATTAAATTAGTGTGTTACAAATTAGGTGGAAAGGACAGTGCACAAAGCAAGATGAGTTTAGTAAAGATATTGCATTTAAGCCATTAGTTTTTTGTTGGCCATAACTCTTTCATAAGTTTCATTTTATTTTTACCTAAAATGACAAAAAATAGTAATGCAGGTGCCCAGTTGCCATTGGATGTAGCTGTGGCAAGGAGGTGACATGGAGCTAGTTAGTTAGGTTCTCTAATTCTCTAGCGGGTTTTGCACTGGTCCCAGAAGAGGCTTCTGTAACCTCTGCCAGCTAAGAATGGACCACAAGGGACTGTCTGGGGTTAGCCAGCATGTTCCGGTCATATCTCCCTAACTCTCATATGCCAAGACTGCAGTGGGAGTGGAATAGGTGCACACTGACTCTTCACACACTGTGTCGGGAATTCCAAGCTGGGGACTTGCTTTGCTCCCTTTGCACTGCTTGAATCACGCAAAGGAAGAAGAGTGCATCAGAGAATATGTGAGTAATAGCTTAAAGCACTTGCAGAGTAAAATTGAATTTGGCTGAATTTTGGCTGAATCCTGAGGTTAAGCGTACATCAGGTTGATGAAGGCCTTGGTGAGGCCTCATCTGGAGTACTGTGTCCAGTTTTGGGCCCCACACTACAGAAGGATGTGGAAAAATTGGAAAGAGTCCAGTGGAGGGCAACAAAAATGATTAGGGGTCTGGAGCACATGACTTAGGAGGAGAGGCTGAGGGAACTGGGATTGTTTAGTCTGCAGAAGAGAAGAATGAGGGGGGATTTGATAGCTGCTTTCAACTACCTGATGGGGGGGTTCCAAAGAGGATGGAGTTCGGCTGTTCTCAGTGGTGGCAGATGACAGAACAAGGAGCAATGGTCTCAAGTTGCAATGGGGGAGGTCTAGGTTGGATATTAGGAAACACTATTTCACTAGGAGGGTGGTGAAGCACTGGAATGCGTTACCTAGGGAGGTGGTGGAATCTCCTTCCTTGGAGGTTTTTAAGGCCCAGCTTGACAAAGCCCTGGCTGGGATGATTTAGTTGGGAATTGGTCCTGTTTTGAGCAGGGGGTTGGACTAGATGACCTCCTGAGGTCCCTTCCAACCCTTGTATTCTATGATTCTATTAAACTGTTCAGTTCCTGACGTGTTTGAGATTTCCCTGAACAGTGCTTGCTATTTGGTTTTCTAGATGTTTAATTTTTCTTGCTTTGGTTATGCTATAGGTTTATATTTCACCCAGCATTGCCTTGGTGTAGATAGTATTCTGCATTAAAGAAATAATCTTTAAAAAGTAAAAAATTAGGGCTCTTTTTTTTTTATTCACATGCTTAACACGACTACCATGAGTAGTCAAATTTAAAATGAATGGGACTACTCATGATAGTAGAGTTAAGCATGTGTTTAAATGCATGCAAGATTGATGCCTGAGATCCTGACAGGAGGGAATCATATAGTAAAGTTGTGATAACTCTCTTTTCTCCTGTAAATAGAAATAGCTTTTGAGTAGCATGTTAGTCATTCTTCTCCCTTCCCCTAACTCAAGGATAGTCAGTAGGTGGACCACAGGCCAAATCTGGACTGCCAGACACTTTTGAACAGACCTTGAAATCTTTGTATTTACTTATCATTATTTTTTATTTTCTCTGGAGTCTGGACCTTGACTGTATCTTGGACCAAGAAATTTGGACCTCAACAAAAAACAGACTATCTCTGCCCTAACTTATCTAGAAGGTTGATTCTTTATCCTGCATTAGTTCTGGAGATCCGTAATGAAGGGGCAATGGACACATTGGGGTGAGCAGAGGGAAAATGGGTGGTAGGATTCATGGTAGGAATTACTTTTCCTCATCTCAGTTACTTTCCCATACTACACATCTATTCTTTTTTCCTCAACAAAATATTTATTTTAGGGAGAGTACCCAGCGTAGCACGTATAATGTAATGTAATAGAGTAAGGATTCTACTGAAACTTGTGGACTAGGGTTTGCCCATATTTGCTATTGGGGTTTTGCAAAATGAAGCCTTCTATCTTCATAGGAGCCTGCCATCTGTGGTCTAGTAAAATTGACACTACAGGCATATAGCTACACTTGACATTTTAGTCTTGTTTTAACAACTGTTAACAATCATGTTAGTGAACACATGTTAATTATTTCTGTCATAGACAGAACACAAATGTTTGTTAGTTGTATTTAACCCTAGATTTTAGCAATTAAAAATTACTAAATATTCATGTGTAGATATACCACAAGTGAATTCCTTGAGCCATATTCACAGCAAAAGACCTGACAGATATGTTGATGTCCAAAATTATGATATTTGGTGACATAAAATCATGTAGATCTCTAGCTCATATTTAACA